AAAAAAAAAAAAAAAAAAAAATAAGTTTTGACTGATGTTTGTAACAACAAAGTTTGACCTATACATTACATGCAGTACCATATTCTTTTAGTTGATAAGAATATTTTGATTTCACTTTCTCCATTTACGTCCTTCATTCTTTTAGTATTAAATAATGTTCCTATATAATGAATATTTCAAAGGCAGAAAAATATCACTGTCTCATGGAAGTTTTCCTGTTATGCCAAATACAATTTGTATTCAGATAATGAAAACTAACTTAACCTCCTCACTTATCCCATAGTGACTGGCTTAGCAATCTTCAATATCCAGAACATAACACTGAACTTAAAACTCAAACCCATGAACTTAGAGACTATGTATTTTATTTTCAAGATGCTCTTGATTCTTTCCTCAGACTTTAGTTCCTGTTCTAAACCAATCAGCCATAAAATACATTTTGGGGATGACCAGGTAAATCTGATTATACATCTGGTTTTAGATATTATTAGAGAATTACTGCCAATTTTATTAGGTTAACAACAATACTGCCGTTATATAGTAATGGACTTATTTTTAAAGATGTATATAAAGTATTTAGGGGTAAATGTCATGACATCTAATTATTTTTTTAAAAAAATGAATAAATATGGCAAAACACTAATTGTTCAAACTTACTTGTGAAAATATGAATGTTTATTACATTTCTTCTACCTTCCTGTATGTTTTAAATGTTTCACTATAAAAAAAAAAAAAAGGTTAAGATTTTAAATTTCAAGACTGCTGGTCTGATTTCCTAACCCATGGTAGGTCAGAAGCAGCCAGCAGAGAAGAGGGGGAGGGTAGTTGCAGTGAGGCGCGCTGAGAGTTGCAAGGACTGCAAACTGATAGCCTGACGTAAGAGAACAGACATCAAGACTACACTGTACATAAAATGCAAACAGAAGAAGTCAACGGTCTGGCGTGCTAAAGATAGGAGCTATCTGCAGCTATCCTTGGAAGCATCTCAGCATTACAGTAAAGCTCCACATAATCAACAAAATCCAAGGTTCTCATCTTGCTTCTTGTTCGTAACTGGCTGCCTACCCATAGTATTTTATCCCACACAAAAATAATGTTACTAAAAGGTGAAAAGAGGAAAACAATACATACAGTATCATAACTTTACTAACCACCAACACACACATATAATCTCGGCCAAAATTCCCAAGTATCTTTTTCATATGAACAACTTGGTATATACTATTTATGCATTTAATAAAAAAAAATGACTCTTTTCCAAATCTGTACTTTTCACATAAAGAGGAATGCACAGAATGTTATTCACGAACTCCTTCCTTCTTGCAAGCTAACCGATTTTTCACTTTTACACACAGCACTGCAATGAACACCACTCTGCACACAAGTCTTTTCCTCTTTGGGATTATTTACTTGGGATAGTATCCCAGAAATAAGATTAGTGGGTCAAAGGATACGAACTCATTACCATGCTGCATTCCACTTCATTCTCCACCAAACCACAAGAGCATACCTGTTACAACTTTATCTTACACACTGGTTACGCTTTTATTTTGGTAAAAGTTGTAAAACAGTACCTACAAGTAAAATGCTAACATATTTACATATGCTCCTTCACCAAAGGCACTTACAGCTCTGTGACTCTTCTCAAGTCAATTAACCTTAAGGGACTTTTGTTTGTACATTTCCAAAATAAGAAGACTGCATCAACTTCACTAGCACTTAGAGAAGAGAAAATTAAAGGAAGAAGGACTATTTTTCTCACACGAGTCTGATAAAATTTCAAGACAGACGGGTTTTAGTGATGGTAAGATTACAGGAACTAGGCATTATCACATATTGCTGTGAGTGTGTGTGTCTGAAACTAATCTGACAGATCTACTAAAATTATGTGTCTAAATGCTCCTTAACCCAGAAATCCAACTTTAAGGACTACCCTACAGAAACAAGGGCAAAAGTAATAAAGGATATATACTTAATACAGGATGACTAATGGCAAACTAAAAACTAAAACCACCTGAACATCTAATATGGGAATGGTTGGCGGGCACAATGGCTCATACCTATAGCCCTAGCACTCAAGGAGGCTGAGGCAAGTGGACACCTTCAGCTCAAAGGTTCGAGACCAGCCTGAGCAAAAAGTGAGACACCTTCCCCACCACTAAAAATAGAAAAACTGACAGAAGAGGATTGCTTGAGCCTAAGAGTTGGAGGTTGCTATGAGCCATGACCCCACAGCACTCTACCCAGTGCAACAGCTTAAGACTCTGTCTCAAAAAATAATAATAATAATAATGATATGGGAATGGTTAAATAAATTATATTATATCCACACTATGGAGTATTGTACAGAAATTGAAGCTGGTATATTAATTTAGAAAGATATTCATGATCTATGGTACATTAAAAAGAAAGGTGTTTTGTGATGACCACAAATTCATTTTTAAAGGAAAAATTCTATATAAGCATTTGCATGTAAAAAAGGGTTCAAAAGACATTTCTCATACAGTAAACAAATAACAATGACTTCTTCAGATGAGGGAAGAAGGAGAAATTACTCCCTTCTCCATATTCTTCCATATTATTTGACTTACTACTATTTGCTTACTAGGAATTTTTAAATGTTCAAAGACGGCAAAGATTTTTTTCAAAGGAATATTATACTAGGTATCTCTCAAATTCTCATTAACTCCCAAAGCATAAAATTCTATAAAGTGAGGTTCACCAAAAGGTCATTGAAGGTTTAATGAATGGCTGAATTATGTCCAATACACTCTCAGAGTATGTAATATAGTTTTATAAGGTTTACAACACAAATAGGCAATATTTTTCAAAGTGTTGACACAAAGGACTAAATAGAAAAAAGAAAATTTATGTTAAATACCTCAGCAGCACCACCCCTGAATTCTGGATAAATGAAGCATCCTATTATTCAAATCACTGAGCTGTGCATGAAGTTATACCAAGGATGTGTGAGAATGTGCACTGGCCTGTCTCCTAGATTCATTCTAGTGAAATAGCGACCACAAAGAGGGGAATTCCTAAACTACGACCGAGAGAGCAAGAATCTTATTAATCTCAATTTCCAGAGCAAAAGAAAACAGGAAAAAGCACTGCAAAACATTCTTTCTTTTTTTTTTTTTTTTTGAGACAGAGTCTCACTTTATTGCCCTCGGTAGAGTGCCATGGCATCACAGTTCACAGTAAACTCCAACTCCCGGGCTCAGGCAATTCTCTTGCCTCAGCCTCCTGAGTAGCTGGGATTACAGATGCCCCCTACAATGCCCGGCTATATTTTTTTATTGTTGTTGCAGTTTGGCCGAGGAAGGGTTCAAACCCACCACCCTCGGTTTATGGGGCTGGCGCCCTACCCACTGAGCCACAAGCACCACCAGGCCCATCCTTTTCAATGCATCCAAATTTAACATTTTAATCAATGGATATTACATTTCTTAAACATTGGCTCCTATTGACTGAAACTACTCACACAAACTTTCAAGGGACACATTATCGATGTGCTCAGGGGAGTACTAAGAACACCACCTGCCCCCCACATTCATGAACAGGAGCAAAGTTCACAAGTCTTCCTATCCTGGCAGCAAAGTTATCATCCAAATCAGTTACTAACCACCACAGTAAGGTTCTTTTTTTAAATAGCATAAACACTTTTGAAATTAGGAGGGGGCAAGCAAATTTTAAACATTACTCAATTAAATAATTCAAAATTTTCAAATCAGAAAAAAAGTATTATTTTTAAACATACCGTTCCTACAATCTTCATCGGCTTGCCCATAGTTCTTCTGCAAAATAAAAGACATGAGATAACTTTTAACAGGGATGTTATCAAAGAGAAGCTCTGCTTTGTTTCCAAGTTTAATCATTAATGCTGTGAACTTAACAGAGTCTCACAGAGCACAGCTAACTAACTGGTGTGCTCTCCGAGGGTTTCACGCGGCTCCGCAGACCAGCAGCAGAGTACCCTTTCCTAGTCCACCAGTCTGCTCCTACCACCCACCTTCTCTACCTTCAACTCACCAGCACCTCCTTCTTGGCCAATGGCTTTACTGAGAAAACTGAAGCTTCCAAAAGAGAATTTCCACTGTCACCACCATACGGAACCACTCCCTGCACATACTGTTTTCCTTCCACCTGTTAACCAGATAAACTCTCAGCGCTCCTGCCTAAAGTCAACTCTACCACTTACACAGACGCGCTCTACGGCCTAGGCAAGAGCGGCACCCAGAAGGCCTCCTCAGTTTCTCCTTGTATTGCTAATGTTTCGCCTGATCGGTTCAGTCCTATAAATGAATATGCTGTTATTTCTAATATCTAAAAAAATCCTTGGCTTGGCGCCTATAGCTCTGGGTTAGGGTGCTGGCCACATGCACTGCAGCTGGTAGGTTCAAACCCAGCCCGGGCCTGCTAAACAATGACAGTTGCAACTAAAAAATAGCCGGGTGTTGTGGCGGGAGCCTGTAGCCCCAGATACTCAGAGGCTGAGGCAAGAGAATCACTTAAGGGTGGCGCCTGTGGCTCAGTGGGTAGGGCACTGACCCCATATATCGAGGGTGGTGGGTTCAAACCCAGCCCTGGCCAAATTGCAACAAAAAAATAGCCAGGCATTGTGGTGGGCGCCTCTGGTCCCAGCTACTCGGGAAGCTGAGGCAAGAGTATTGCCTAAG